CAAATACTTAGAATGTTATTCCCTGAAATTTTAAAAATAATTTAAAACCTTGGGGGTATAAAAGCCAATTTAATTTGGGCTTTTTTTGGCAGTGGCTACATACGGAACATTGATCAATTTTCAAAATTCAAGATGGCCGTCAATGATATAAAAATATATAATAAAATCATTATATTATAAATAAATAATTATGTAACATAGCAAAGAGTCGGGTTAAAAGTGCATGGTATTCCGCATTTCAAATTACCTCTAAAACATGCCCAAAAAGGTAAAAAAAAAAATCAGTTAAATTACATTTTAAACTGGTAATTCTTTTTATTGAGATTGGCAAGAGTAAGAATATTTCATCAGTATATAACAGTATTTCTAGTTTTTCTTATTACTGCACATTTTTCACTTTAAATTTTAAAGAGTCAATAAACAAAACATCTTACAAATCATTTGGTTATAAACTGACAGCCATTAAAATCTTTGAGGCCATATTTTTCAAAATAATTGTTATTTTGAAGCTCTAAACTGGATTATTTTCATATGTTCAGGACATTGGTATACGGAACCAAAAATCTTAAGTTTCATGAATAGTTTCAAAACAAAAATGGCATCAGCCCAACACAATGTCACAACGGTCAATAGCCGGTATGATCTCCACTTGCTTTGATGCAGGCAGCGATCTGTTGGCGCATGCTCGGGCAATAAATGTGGATGGGATGGTGTCATGCGGAATCCTATTCCAGCTTTGTCATAGTGCCTGGATCAGCTGCTGCCTTGGACAACGGACAACCAAGATAAATGTTATACCACAAGTGTTCAATCGGATTCATATCAGGAAAATATAGCCATCTTGAATTTTGAAAAATTATCAATATTTCGTATGTATCAACTGGCAAATAAAGTCAAGCTTATAAGCTTCTCTAAATTTTGTAACCCAGATGAAATAATTTCTTTTTAAAAAGCTTGCAAGATATAACATAGCAAGCTTTGGCTATAGGGCTTGTCGGAGTGGCAAATGGACTCACAGGAGATGTCACTGTCTGCCACCATCTGATTAATGTCAAATCAGCAGTTTCTGAATGTTTAGGACCATTACTAACAAATTATCATAATGGACATAAATAGAAAAGGCGGATATGTTTTTAATTAGGCTAAATTTGCAAAAAAAAACGAACTTATTTTGCAGCTTTTTTACTTTCTACCATATGTTTTGACGGCCATTTTGGTTTTTTTGCTATATGTAATGGGTTAAAGTGTATTCACCAGTACTGTTGTGCTCTCCTGATAGGATACACGTTCAAAACAGCTGTCAATAAAGTTTACCCGGTGACTTCTGGTCGCTTTTCTATTTTTCCTCATAAATTGACAGCCATATTGAAAAAATGCTCAAGGTCTCTGAAATAGCAACCAAGCTAATTTTGCTTCCCTCGACCTAAAGAATGCATTTCAGCAAAAAAAGTTTACAGGAAAAAGTATTGCAGGGTTAGCGTTCTGGCTACTCGACTAGCAGGTCAGAGGAGGTACAGAAGTTACTTGGGAGTGATTTGAGAACCCGCCACACTTGACCAGCTCTCTACTTGACAAGCTCATGCAGTGGGTCACTGACACTATTTTCCTTGTTTAAGATCAATGGCATCGATCGCAACTCAAGGCCGTTCTGTTATTGCTTTGTATTTACAACACTTATCCTTTTCTCCTCTAATGTGAAATGACGCTACCAGATGAATCAGAACATTTACTGTCTAACCAAAAGTGTCTTTCAAGGCTGGACCATTGTATTCTGCTACAGCAATATAGCTTACTGTAATTCTACACCATCATAAGTCAATGTCCAGAAGGATATGGTGACCATTTTGAGGGCACGCTGCTGTCCCACAACTTATCAATTATGACATGACATAATTTATGTAAGGGTAAAGCACTGGTCTGTAAATCTGCGGTGAAGTTATTTTTCTTTACATGAGCAAATCTCAACAAATTACAAAAAGAAAATAAATAAACGACTGTGAAATTAATGTTGTGTCTTTATGGTACTTTTGCCTGCCCCTATATAAGGTTCACTAAACAACTGACTACTAGTAAGCTGAATGAGGTGATGCTTTTAATTAGTTCCTTCTAAGATGCATCGTCAAAAACAAAGAACGCCAGCGTCTTCATGGTGACCACAGTTTTCATTTGCCCAGCCGGCGTGCTTACATGATGCAATGTTGGGTTCTGATCCTGTGCAGAGGACATCGTCTAACCATATGTCTCCGGTACCTTGTCCAAAATAGGCACTTTGTACGGCAACTGCGTTGGAATGGGGTAGATTTAAAGACTTGCAGAAAACTTTGGCATCAGTATTATTCCAGTAGTCATCACAAACTGTTCCCCAGACTCCATTATGTTTCACTTCAACTCTGCCACCGTACTTTCCATTGATATTTATTCCAACAATACGATACAAGTTACGTTGAAGAAAAGCTGGAATGTTCAAACAAAACCTGTTCAAAGATCAAACTTTTCAGATAAAATCTATTCATAGCACTGTTAGTAAATATTATATGACTGAAATATAGTTTTTACATATCAATTTTGTACAGCATGTTAATATTTATAATTCACTCATAATTCAATTCTATTTACACCAGCAGTCCATTCCTCTTACCTACAGTGACACGAAAAATTATGTTAACAGTAAATTACTTCATGAAACTGCCTTAACCTGATTCACAATCCCTTCCGCTGTATCCAGTACGACAGCTGCAAGAATAGGTGTTAGCATAACTCCTGCACGTGGCCCCATTTTGGCAGGGCTGGCTGCGACATTGGTTTCCTTTTGTATCAAAAATTTCTAGATTTCAAATATGTTTAAACTCACTAGCGTTATCAACAACAGTAGGTCATATGCGTTCAGCGAGTTATGCCTCTTTAAATAACGATCCAGTTTTACCCATAAATCGTCTTAATAAGGAGGCCGCTGTCTTACAGATAGATATACATATATAATTCATTTTATTTATATCAGAAAAAAATACTCTATATCATAATTTTTCTGTATATCATCTGATTTTCACCTTGGCAGTTTGTCCCGTAGTACCCGGCAGAACACAAACATCGATAAGAATTCACCATGTCAACACATGTCCCACCATTCTGACAAGGACGACTGGAACATTCACTGATTTCTAAAACGTTAATGTAAATTAGACTAATGTAAGCTAGCAATTTTATTTAAAAGCAAAACCAAAACATCTTAAGTATAACATGGAAAACGGTGTACTGGCTTTGTTAATTTTACAGAATTTCACTTCATATGTTTTACTTCCATTGATCAGTATACTATATTTGTATAAGCTAAAGTAACATACCAAGTTGACACAATTTGCCGGTAAAACCAGGAGGGCAATCGCAGTCAAAACCGCCATGATTATTTATACAGGTGGCGCCCCTAACACATGGCTTGCTCATGCATTCATTTATATCTACAAAGAAACAAAAAATATATGTGCCTTTAACTGATAATTTTCTGTCTTAATACTTATTCAATCCGTTATTATGGCAAATATGTAGCAATTACTATGCTCTGGATAATCCTGTTGCGTACAAAGATAAAGAAAAATTATACACATATTTTGATAGTATAAAAATGTTTGATGCGATCAAAATATCATCATATCACCTTAAAGCGCGAGAGAGTATTCATGCAGCACAGGCTTCAAACAACTGCGCATGTGCTATAGTGCGCTGTTTGAAATGAACAAGTTGGTGAAATTGACAATGCCTGCCGGCGTTTACCGTCTGGTTGATTTTATTTCATTAGCTCTCTGGTGTCTTTTTGAAAGTTTATATTAGAAATGTTCTATTGATTTTATGTTGTAAAAAGTAAATCCGTCTGAATTCCTTAGAAAAGCATTTATTTTACCTTCATTTTAAGGGGATTCCCATTGTATTTATAGTGTTATATGTGGCCCCAATGGGGATTTTCACACCTCCCCCACTCTTGATTAATAAAATTCTTCATCTGGAGGATTGTAAATTATATTGTAAAATACAATGAAAATCTTAGGAAGGTTAACTGCAGATAATGCTGCGAGGATATTCTTAACAGTGGGGGAACTCGGCCAATATAAAATTTTTAACTTCGTTTTACGATTTTGGAGCGCCTGTTCTAATTTTTGAAAGAGAGGCAATGGAACAATACTATACAATTTGTAATCTCGTAAAAATTGCTATTTTTATATAAAGGTTATAGCATGGAGTACATCGAAATGCGACTTGTTTATTATTATGATCTTAAATAATAATTAATATAAAACAAACGATATAATACGTTCTTAACGTTAGCCTATTTATTAGCTTAATTGATTTTTTTTCGTATTTGGAGATTAAAAACACAAAAGTTGTCTGGTTTCATGTCGAGGCACTACGTTTCGTTCGTGTGCTTATTCATGCAGTTTTATACAAGCTTTATACAAAGAGTAATGAAAAACCTTTCATTCGTCTACCAGGATATTCATATTACAAAGACTCATAGTTGACTATCTACCGTTTTCACACAATGTGCCTTGGAAACCGGAAGAACAAGAACATCGGAACGACTCTAGAGTGTTCTCACAATGGGCACCATTTCTGCAAGGTTTACTTAGGCAGTGGTTGGACACTGGAATAAATACACACCCAATTACATCTCTTCAGACTTACCTCCTCATCAAACAGCCATGAAATGGGATAGACCTAAGTCATTTTCCACAGAAATGACTTTCTTTAAATCTTTATCATTCTCAGTTATAGAAGAATAACAGATTTTCATGTGAGACATCTGCAAAAATATAAAATGTTTAAAAAGTTTTTAACTGATTTAGTGACAGTCACGGCTGTTCTTACTTGTTTCACAAATTCTGCCGGTATAACCAAACGGACAACTGCAAGAATACGTATCATTTTGATTCCTGCAGGTAGCACCATTTTGACACGGGCTGCTGCGACACGGATCTCTCTCTGTAACGTAATTTAAACGGCTGATGATACCTGATATAATTAACATAACACGCTATCTCGTCTTTTCCAAAAGAGGCAGACACACGCAAATAAGCTCGCAAACAGAAAACACGCACAAACATATAAACACACATTGATTTGCTCAATTTGGTATTTCAAAAAAGAAGCGCAGGGAGAACGTTGAATACCTACCTTGGCAGTTTGTCCCTAGGTACCCGACAGAACACAAACACCGATAAGAATTCACCATGTCAACACACGTCCCACCATTCTGACAAGGACGACTTGAACATTCACTTATTTCTAAAAAAGTAAATATTGATAAAACGTGATAAAATGTTCACTTGTAAAAGGGCCAAATTTATTTTATCGTAAAAAAACAAAAAAAAAAATATAAATACCAACTGACTTTGTTTGTTTCAGAAATGAAAGATATTTTAAAAATTCAAAATTAAACTTCATATTTGCATTGATCAATACACTATCTTTTTGACTATTAGCTAAATGTATTATCATACCAAGCTGACATAATTTGCCAGTAAAACCAGGAAGGCAATCGCAGTCAAAACCGCCATGATTATTTCTACAGGTGGCGCCCCTGGCACACGGGTTGTTCATGCATTCATTGATGTCTGCAAAAGAAAAATATTTGTATCTTTAACTTATTATCTGTCTATTTTCCAATTGCATTTCTTTGTACTTATTCCAGCCGTTATTATAGCATTTCTTCAAAGGTTTGCTTAGGCACTGGATGGTCACTGTAATAAATAGGCATCTCTGTGTCCACACTCCATTAGATTTCGTCATGCCTACATTTCGGACTGATATCTGCTTATAAATCATCTTTTTAAAGTTGGGTTTTCACTTTGGGTTGATTGGCATTTTTCCCCTTTTCACCAAATTTATGCAGAGATACAATATTATATCAATTGACTTCCTTCGTTTAATTACCATTTGAACCATTGTTTGCTGAAACCAAACTCTCAAATTCATGGTTGAGTTTGTCACTATTTTCTTTTTGGGTAAACGCTAGCGACCATACAACAATAGCAACCAATGCAGCGCACATGATTCCCACTAACACCAATGCTATTTGTAACCGTCTATTGACTTTTGTCTTTGGTGGCTGTGTAATGCTTGTATTGGGATCATCGGCATTGTCAGTTGGACCAGAAATCCTTAAACTCTCGTAAACACTTGTTGTCTCCTCTGGAGCGAGATCCATATCCGCCGAAGTTTCATATGTTGCATTTACATACGCGGCACTTTGGTCTTGAGGAGT